TGAATACTATTTAAGTAAGCACAGAGCCAATTGGGATGGTGTAGGAAATTTACTTCGGAGAAACACATTTGCTGTTTTAAAAGTTTAAACATAATTTGTTTTGTTGGTGAAGTATTTGCTTATAGATTTTATTCTCATTTCCCCCTTAGTTTCTTGCCCAATATTTACTTTATTCATAATCCCTGCTGTTTTCCCTGCTCGGACCATTTCAATAAAAACATTTGCTCATGAATTGTAGGATTTGTATTTGCCTAGAAGGTCTAAGTGCAGATTTTCTGTGTTGCAGATATTTGCTCTCGCTGAGAGTTTAGGAGGATACGAAAGTCTTGCCGAGCTTCCGTAAGTATATTTCTATTTTTCTCAGTACTTGAAACCGAGAGTTGGCCTTGAGGCTTGTGTGGAAATGGAGAGTGAAAAACCTATGGAAACCCCCAGGTATTTGGCAGGGAGCCTGAGGTGGCCCTGATTGACCAGTGCGCACCATAACCAAGCCAGATGAGAGCTTGAATGAACCCGGGTGATCCTTAGGGAGCTGTGTTCTCCCAAAGGTCACTTTCCTTCCTGATTCCAGCAGGAATGACATGCTGGGACCTCAGACTTCTGACCTCAGGCACCCAGGCGGCCTTGGAAGGGACCTGGAGATTGCTCTGGCTAGCCTGTTACTGAGGCTCTGGGATAACAGAGACTGTGTCCCATGGAACTGCTTCACACCCCCAGTGTCATAGAAGAGCCCTGCGAGGTCCTGGGTCTCACTCTGCGAGGTCCTGTGTCTCACCATGCTGTCTGCTAGATGTCCCCACTCCCCTGGTCCCCAGGCCTTCGCTGCCTGGCCCAGCCAGTCAGCCTGGTGTTTTATCACTATGCCATGCTTTCGAATGGAACATAAGGACAGGGAGCTGCCCAGGTTTCTCAGCCCAGCAGCTTATTTTATGGGCGAGGAAACCAAAAGCCTGAAAGCTCAAATGTGCCGGACTTGGCTCATGACTTGACTTTGGCTTCTTTGATTAGGTTTATTGGTGCAGTTTAGTACACACAGGGATGCCATGCACCACAGGGAGTTTGCGTCTGCATCGGGTACATCTTGGTTCTTCTCTTTTTCTTGTTCCCTCCCCTCCCTTCAGCCCCTCTTACCCTCCTTATCTGCAAAAGCTTTTTTTTTTTTTTTTCATTTTTCCTTTTCTCTTTTTCCTTTCCTCCTACCCCTCTCCCAGGTCCCCTCTCATTTGGATATTTTCTTCCTATTTCTTAATGTCAATTATCCATTTTTGTCCTCACAATCTCAGTTTCTCATACCTGAGAGACTATGTGGTATTTACACATGTGTGTCTGATTTATTTCACTTAACAGTGTGATACCAAGATGCATCCGTTGACTTAGAAATTTCTCAAGCTTCTCCTTCCTTAGGCTGAGCAGCACTCCATTGTGTGGAAGAGCCACAGTTTCCTTTTCCATTCATCAGTTAATGGTCATTTGCTTTTTCTAAGATTTAGCTATGACAAACTGTGCTGTTATAAACATGGGTGAGACAATATTGCTGTGGTGTGCTACTTTTAATTCTTCCAGGAAGATATCCAGAGGGGGAATAGCTGGGTTTAATGAAACTCTCGTCCTAGTTCCTTTTCTTTCTGTATTTACTACAAGGGTACACAGTGTCTAGAGGGTCTCACTATGTAGCTCCAACTTGTAG